ATATTCAAGGTCACAGGGGTCAAATATGTGAAAAACATTCATCAACTTCTTCTGAATAACCAAAATGCACAGGGTGATGATATTTGGCCAGTAGCATGCTGAGATGAAGGGCTTCACAGTTTGTTCAAATTCATGACCTTCACCCATTTTCAAGGTCACAGGGGTCAAATATGTGAAAAACATTCATCAACTTCTTCTGAATAACCAAAATGCACAGGGTGATGATATTTTGCCAGTAGCATGCTGAGATGAAGGGCTACAAAGTTTGTTCAAATGAATGACCTTCACCCATATTCAAGGTCACAGGTGTCAAATATGTTTAAAAACTTTGAACAACTTCTTCTGAATAACCAAAATGCCCAGGGTAATGATATTTGGCCAGTAGCATGCTGAGATAAAGGTCTACCAACTTTGTTCAAATAAATGACCTTCATCTATATTCAAGGTCACAGGGGTCAAATATGTGAAAAACATTCATCAACTTCTTCTGAATAACCAAAATGCACAGGGTGATGATATTTGGCCAGTAGCATGCTGAGATGAAGGGCTACAAAGTTTGTTCAAATGAATGACCTTCACCCATATTCAAGGTCACAGGGGTCAAATATGTTAAAAACTTTAAACAACTTCTTCTGAATAACCAAAATGCCCAGGGTGATGATATTTAGTCAGTAGCATACTAGGATCAAGGGCTACCAAGTTTGTATAAATGTATGACCTTGAATAATATTCAAAGTCACAAGAAGCAAATATGTTCAAAATATTTCAACAACTTGTTCTGAATAACCAAAAGGCTCAGGATGTTGATATTTAGTCAGTAGCATATGCTGGGATCAAGGACTTCTTTGTTTGTTAAAGTGAATGACTTTGACTTACATTCAAGGTCACAGGGGTCAGATTTGTTTAAAATCTATAAAAAAAACCTCTTCTGAATAACCATGCGTCCCAGGATGTTTATACTTTGCAAGTTGCATCGTGAGATGAAAGGCTATACAATGTGTTCAACATAATGGCTTTGTTCGACTTTCAATCACAGGGGTGAAATGTTTAAAAAAAAAATAACAGGGTCTTTTAAAATGAATTTTAATCATAAATACTGATATTTTGCCTGTAGCTTTATTTTAGATCACTTTTAAGGTTTCAAGTGTGAGTTTTATACCAGGTGAGCGATGCAGGCCCATTGGGCCTCTTGTTTTATTTTATTGTGTAGTTTGTAAAACGCTCATTGTGGGCATTCATTACCTTGTCTTTTTATAGTTGTGTAGAGACCCGTCATAGAGCAAGCCTCCGAAAATCCCCCCACTATGTTCCAGACGGGAATCACGAACCCCCCATTCCTTATTTGTACCGAAATGAGCGCCATTTGTACACAAGACTAATAAGTTATTTTAACGCTTGCCTGTATATCAATCCTTATCTTTATTCAAACATTTTCGGGACTTGGGTGACTAACGAGTAAAAACGACATGCGACCAATTTCCGGATTTTTTAAAAGATTAGCTGGCGCATTCACAATTTTTTTCACAGTTCCCTAAAATGAAATGCGCACGGGCCTGAGAACCATGTAATCAATATTTTTTGGCCTATATCATATGGTTTTAAAATCCTAACATAATGTGTTCTGCTGAACTTGTTTTACTGTTTACTTTCCCTGTTGTGGCAAAGATTCTTAATCAAAGTCAGCTTAGGCAAATAATTTTGTCTGTTGGCCAGCTTATTATGTTGTTCTCAGATTTTTTTCTTGGAAGGCAATTGCTTGATATGTATTCATTGAGAGGGTTGGGTATCACTCCAATCTAACTCTGTCAGAAGGGCAATACATTCTTTTAATGCCTTCACTGATCATCATTGGAGATTTTGTTCTTCAATTCATTATGCTTCTTTAAGTTGAGTCTACTATTTAGTTAAAAACGATTATGCAAAGCTAGCATAGGGAACTATTTGCAGGACTTTCTATTTTTCAATCATTAAGTAAAAAACATTTCTTTCAATAGAAAACGTCATGCAACCTGGACCTGCTGCATGGATTTGTGGAATGTCTGGAAGTGGATGAGGCAGAGGAAGTGGTACAGAATAGAGTCGTACAGCTGGATGAGGCAGGTAAGTGTTAGAGTATAGCGTCGTACAGCTGGTCAAGGCAGGTAAGTGTTAAGAGTATAGAGTCGTACAGCTGGTCAAGGCAGGTAAGTGTTAGAGTATAGGGGCGTACAGCTGGTCAAGGCAGGTAAGTATTGGAGTATAGGGTCGTACAGCTGGTCAAGGCACGTAAGTGTTGGAGTATAGGGTCGTACAGCTGGGCAAGGCAGGGAAGGGTTGGAGTATAGGGTCGTACAGCTGATCAAGGCAGGTAAGTGTTAAAAGTATAGGGTCGTACAGCTGGTCAAGGCAGGAAAGTGTTTGGGTATAGGGTCGTGCGGCTGGGCAAGGCAGGTAAGTGTTGGTATATAGGGTCGTACAGCTGGTCAAGGCAGGTTAGTGTTAAAAGGATAGTGTCGTACAGCTGGTCAAGGCAGGGAATTAAGTGTTAGTGTATAGGGTCGTACAGCTGGTCAAGGCACGTAAGTGTTGGAGTATAGGGTCGTACAGCTGTTCAAGGCAGGTAAGTGTTAGAGTATAAGGTCGTACAGCTGGTCAAGGCAGGTAATTGAGTGTTAGTGGATAGGGTCGTCAGCTGGTCAAGGCAGGGAAGTGTTGGGGGATAGGGTCGGACAGCTGGGCAAGGCAGGGAAGGGTTGGAGTATAGGGTCGTACAGCTGGGCAAGGCAGGGAAGGGTTGGAGTATAGGGTCGTACAGCTGGTCAAGGCAGGTAATTAAGTGTTAGTGTATAGGGGCGTCAGCTGGTCAAGGCAGGGAAGTGGATGAGGCAGAGGAAGTGGTACAGAATAGAGTCGTACAGCTGGATGAGGCAGGTAAGTGTTAGAGTATAGCGTCGTGCAGCTGGTCAAGGCAGGTAAGGGTTGGAGTATAGGGTCGTACAGCTGTTCAAGGCAGGTAAGTGTTGGAGTATTCATCATTGAGAGAGTTGGGTATCACTCCAATCTAACTCTGTCAGAAGGGCAATACATTCTTTTAATGCCTTCACTGAACATCATTGGAAATTTTGTTCTTCAATTCATCATGCTTCTTTAAGTTGAGTCTACTATTTAGTTAAAAACGATTATGCAAAGCTAGCATAGGGAACTATTTGAAGGACTTTCTATTTTTCAATCATTAAGTAAAAAACATTTCTTTCAATAGAAAACGTCATGCAACCTGGACCTTTTGCATGGATTTGCGGAATGTCTGGAAGTGTATGAGGCAGAGGAAGTGGTACAGAATAGAGTCGTACAGCTGGATGAGGCAGGGAAGTGTTAGAGTATAGCGTCGTACAGCCGGTCAAGGCAGGTAAGTGTTAAGAGGATAGGGTCATACTTCTGGATAAGGCAGGGAAGTGTTGAGAGTATATATAGTCATATACCTTCGTGATTATTGTTCCCCAAATAATTAGGGTCAAATAAGCTTGTTAACATCAAATAGAGTATAGGGTCGTCAGCTGGTCAAGGCAGGGAAGTGGATGAGGCAGAGGAAGTGGTACAGAATAGAGTCGTACAGCTGGATGAGGCAGGTAAGTGTTAGAGTATAACGTCGTACAGCTGGTCAAGGCAGGTAATTGAGTGTTAGTGGATAGGGTCGTCAGCTGGTCAAGGCAGGTAAGGGTTAGAGTATAGGGTCATACAGCTGGTCAAGGCAGGAAAGTGTTTGGGTATAGGGTCGTGCGGCTGGGCAAGGCAGGTAAGTGTTGGTATATAGGGTCGTACAGCTGGTCAAGGCAGGTAAGTGTTAGAGGATAGGGTCGTCAGCTGGTCAAGGCAGGGAAGTGTTGGAGGATAGGGGTGTACAGCTGGTCAAGGCAGGGAAGGGTTGGAGTATAGGGTCGTACAGCTGTTCAAGGCAGGTAAGTGTTAGAGTATAGCGTCGTACAGCCGGTCAAGGCAGGTAAGTGTTAAGAGGATAGGGTCATACTTCTGGATAAGGCAGGTAAGTGTTGAGAGTATATATAGTCATATACCTTCGTGATTATTGTTCCCCAAATAATTAGGGTCAAATAAGCTTGTTAACATCAAACAAAAAGTGGACAGACTACTTGGTTATCTGAGCATTGGAGTATAGGGTCGTACAGCTGGTCAAGTCAGGTAAGTGTTGGAGTATAGGTTCGTACAGCTGGTCAAGGCAGGTAATTAAGTGTTAGTGTATAGGGTCGTACAGCTGGTCAAGTCAGGTAAGTGTTAGAGTATAGGGTCATACAGCTGTTCAAGGCAGGTAAGTGTTGGAGTATTCATCATTGAGAGAGTTGGGTATCACTCCAATCTAACTCTGTCAGAAGGGCAATACATTCTTTTAATGCCTTCACTGAACATCATTGGAAATTTTGTTCTTCAATTCATCATGCTTCTTTAAGTTGAGTCTACTATTTAGTTAAAAACGATTATGCAAAGCTAGCATAGGGAACTATTTGCAGGACTTTCTATTTTTCAATCATTAAGTAAAAAACATTTCTTTCAATAGAAAACGTCATGCAACCTGGACCTTTTGCATGGATTTGCGGAATGTCTGGAAGTGTATGAGGCAGAGGAAGTGGTACAGAATAGAGTCGTACAGCTGGATGAGGCAGGTAAGTGTTAGAGTATAACGTCGTACAGCTGGTCAAGGCAGGTAAGTATTGGAGTATAGGGTCGTACAGCTGGTCAAGGCAGGTAAGTGTTAAGAGTATAGGGTCATACTTCTGGATAAGGCAGGTAAGTGTTGAGAGTATATATAGTCATATACCTTCGTGATTATTGTTCCCCAAATAATTAGGGTCAAATAAGCTTGTTAACATCAAATAAAAAGTGGACAGACTACTTGGTTATCTGAGCACAGGATGATGTGTACTGTTTGTGTTCCAGCTGTAGTTATCTGAGCACAGGCTGATGTGTACTGTTTGTGTTCAAGCTGTAGTTATCTGATCACATGATGATGTGTACTGTTTGTGTCCCAGCTGTAGTTATCTGAGCACAGGCTGATGTGTACTGTTTGTGTTCAAGCTGTAGTTATCTGATCACAGGGTGGTGTATACTGTTTGTGTTCCAGCTGTAGTTGTCTGATCACAGGATGATGTGAACTGTTTGTGTTCCAGCTGTAGTTATATGATCACAGGATGATGTGAACTGTTTGTGTTCCAGCTGTAGACGATGTGTACTGTTTGTGTTCCAACTGTAGTTATCTGATCACAGGGTGGTGTATACTGTTTGTGTTCTAGCTGTAGTTATCTGATCACATGATGATGTGTACTGTTTGTGTTTCAGCTGTAGTTATCTGATCTCAGGATGATGTGTACTGTTTGTGGTCCAGCTGTAGTTATCTGAGCACAGGCTGATGTGTACTGTTTGTGTTCCATCTGTAGTTATCTGATCACAGGATGGTGTATACTGTTTGTGTTCTAGCTGTAGTTATCTGATCACATGATGATGTGTACTGTTTGTGTCCCAGCTGTAGTTATCTGAGCACAGGATGATGTGTACTGTTTGTGGTCCAGCTGTAGTTATCTGAGCACAGGATGATCTGTACTGTTTGTGTTCCAGCTGTAGAGGTGAATGTGCTCGGCAAATATATAGTCATATACCTTCGTGATTATTGTTCCCCAAATAATTAGGGTCAAATAAGCTTGTTAACATCAAATAAAAAGTGGACAGGCTACTTGGTTATCTGAGCACAGGATGATGTATACTGTGTGTGTTCCAGCTGTAGTTATCTGCTCACAGGATGATGTATACTGTTTGTATTCCAGCTGTAGTTATCTGAGCACAGGATGATGTATCCTGTTTGTGTTCCAGCTGTAGACGATGTGTACTGTTTGTGTTCCATCTGTAGTTATCTGATCACAGGACGATGTGTACTGTTTGTGTTCCATCTGTAGTTATCTGATCACAGGGTGGTGTATACTGTTTGTGTTCCAGCTGTAGTTTTCTGATCACAGGATGATGTATACTGTTTGTATTCCAGCTGTAGTTATCTGAGCACAGGCTGATGTGTACTGTTTGTGTTCCAACTGTAGTTATCTGATCACAGGGTGGTGTATACTGTTTGTGTTCCAGTTGTAGTTATCTGATCACAGGACGATGTGTACTGTTTGTGTTCCATCTGTAGTTATCTGATCACAGGACGATGTGTACTGTTTGTGTTCCAACTGTAGTTATCTGATCACAGGGTGGTGTATACTGTTTGTGTTCTAGCTGTAGTTATCTGATCACAGGGTGGTGTATACTGTTTGTGTTCGAGCTGTAGTTATCTGATCAAAGGATGATGTGTACTGTTTGTGGTCCAGCTGTAGTTATCTGAGCACAGGATGATGTGTACTGTTTGTGTTCCAGCTGTAGAGGTGAATGTGCTCGGCAATGTGAGGAATTCTACACGACAGAACCTGCTACGGATTATCCTACACTGTCTAGACCAGCCCTCACCCAACCTGGCCCACCTACTGCTTGGCTTTGACCTCCAGAAACCTGTCAGCAAGACCAACCTCCAAGACCAAGGTGAGTTTGTTACGTTGGTTGACTGAAAGGGAAGAGGTCAATATAAAAAAAGAAGACAATTAAGACATTGAAATGCAGGTAAATGTTATTGATTACAATAATATCGAGTACAGAGGCTTTTCCAAAAATGTTTTTTCTGTTAACAAGAAAGGAAAGTTTAATGCCCTACTTGTTAACAAGCACATTACTTACCCTGATGTATGTATAATTACCAGGAATCCTGGGATCACCTAAGACCTGCCTCCATGCGATACTTAGCATCCTGGAGCAGGGTGTGGGATCCTCGGTCGGGCCATCCTGTCTCCATGAAACACCACAGCTGGCAGAATTGTGTTACAAACTGATCTTCAAGCTATGCTCTAACAAGGACACGTCAGCCCCGACCCTGCGTTACCTCCGCACATCAAGGGACTTCCTGTACAGACAACTCCATCATCTCCCCTACACTGCTCACTCGTACGGTAAGCGGACCACATGGTACCTCGTATTGTCATCTGACTTCCTGTACAGACAACTCCATCCTCTCCCCTACACAACTCGCCGGTAAGTTGAACACATGGGACCTCGTATTGTCATGGGACTTCCTGTACAGACAACTCGATCATCTCCCCTACACAACTCGACGGTAAGTTGAACACATGGTCCCTCGTATTGTCATGTGACTTCCTGTACAGACAACTCCATCATCTCCCCTACACAACTCGACGGTAAGTTGAACACATGGTACCTCGTATTGTCATGTGACTTCCTGTACAGACAGCTCCATCATCTCCCCTACACAAATCGACGGTAAGTGGACCACATGGTACCTCATATTGTCATGTGACTTCCTGTACAGACAGCTCCGTCATCTCCCCTACACAACTCGACGGTAAGTTGAACACATGGTACCTCGTATTGTCATGTGACTTCCTGTACAGACAACTCCATCATCTCCCCTACACAACTCGCTTGTACGGTTTTACTCCCAAGATGTTGCTCTTGACCAGGTTAGATGGAAAGTTGGCAATCGAATATTGGGAATTTGTTATGAAATTAAATGTTACAATGAAACATATAGTAAAATTAATTGTGGTCTTAGGGACCACATGGTACCTCATATTGTCATGTGACTTCCTGTAGAGATCACTCCACCACTTCCCTTGCACAGGAATTAAACATGCATGCTACAAAAACTTTATTGTTTTTGAGTATAATTCTTTGTCAGCATTCTTTTTTTTAACTTCTCCAGTGAAAGCTTTATTGAATGTAGATGCATTATTGTGAGTATATGGTTGCCCTCTTTGTACAGCCCAACCAGTGGCTAGCCATCAGGCCTGGCTCCTGAAGACAGTTGCAGTGGAGCTGAGGATGACATCGCTCAATAGACAGCGCTCACACACCCAGCGCCTCATGCGACTTCTACTGGACGACAATCAGGACGACCAAAGTAAAGGTGAGTAGCTGACAATAACAGTCAATCTCCATTGTGACTGACACTATCTTGACAACAAATTCACCAGATTCTCCTTATTCAAATGATCATTTCACCCACGAGAATCATTTGACATTTCCTCTGCAATGTATTAGTCACTTATATGCTCTACATTGTTTAAACAAGTAATTGACTTTACAGGAATGAATGCCGGTGGTGTGGACGATACAGACACCTTGTTTGACAGGTTTGGAGATACCTCAATGTATATGTCTACTTACTCACAGAACAAACAACTCAGGGGTAAGTTTTCTATGAAAGAAAGTGACATCATCTTTTTCCAACTTTTCAGTTAAAAAGTCCTGTTAAATGACAACTGGTAATTTCATCTTTGTGAAAATTGATGGATGACACATTTGAAATGTTCACAAGAATACAAGAGTAAAAACATGTATTATTTTATTGTAAGGGAGTTAACTCTTACACAAACACAAATCACAGAAGAAAGGTAGCATGTATCCTTAGAAATGTTTTTCATTATTTGTTGATTGTTTGTAAAAGTTGTCCATTCAAAATTGATCCAAACATATAAAAGGCTCTACAAACTTAAGAATGTTTCGAGAGTGATTTTTTATTGATTGCTGTGTTATGTGACAGGTAAACAAACACGTCGAAAGCTGTTGTGTCTCCTGGACGCAGTTGACTTCACACAACAATACCCAACACCCATGTCCTTGGAGTTCTTTGAGCCAGCCATGATCGAGAAGGTGATCCAATCGACCGAGACAGTTGGTGAGCACGGTGTCGTCTGCTCCAACATCAATCAGCTCCATCAGATTCTCACCAACGAACTCAACAATGTCCAGGGAACAGTGATGGCTGCTCAGCGACATCGCATCGTGGAGGTCAGTCAAGTAGGAAATTGTTAAAAATAAAAGAATGCTGACAAAATAAGACTAGATCTGTTCTTTGTTTCCAGTAATTCAACATTACAGGTTTGACTAATATATTGTCTGTAAGCTGATATTGTCAACCCAAGAACCCTCACTAGTCCAGTTCTGTATCATCGATGTCAAAGGTCAAGGCCACTTCTAGGAATAAGTAGTATGCTGAAATTGAATGAAAGGTTAAATACTGTAAAACATTCAGTAACTGATTTCATTGTCCTTCATTTCAAAATATGTTCTCATGTTTCTTATAATTTCGTGGGATTGCTTTTGTAATGAATTACTCAAATGTCAAATAGGTCATTCGATCATTAAGTACAATTAGATTTTAAGTTTCCATGGTGTTACTTAAACTCCATTGACCCTGCAGTAAACTTCATTCACCATTTATATCTGAGTAGGAAATGCATAAAAAGTTTGTTTAATGTTAGTGTTACTGAAGAAATGACTAAGTTCTGGTTGTGTATTTATAGGAGGTACAGGGAATACTGAGAAATGTGGTGGCTAGAAACGAGGTGCGTGTCAACCTCAAGGTGAAGCAGCAGTCGTTTGACGCATGGCGCCATGTGGCTGAGATCCTGCTGACCTCGTGTCCAGAGGACCTGCTGCCGCGGGATGCCCGTCAAGCCATACTGTTTGAACTACTCCAGGATCTTCTACAGAAGGTAGTGGGCATTGTACCATTTCAACTGAAAAATCTTAAAACTCTTATCACAAAATGGAAATCTAACCACATATACTATTTTGAAAAAAAAATCTTACTGTGCCCACCATTTCAAAATAGATACTATCAGTGACGGAAGGTTGAAGTTTAAAGGATTGTCCTGGTTTATTGGTCATGTCGGCTGAACATGACATCAGTCGGATTTAGCCTGCCACTTTTATATTCTACTATCTGCACTATTTTGGATCGAGGATTGTTTAAAAGTCTTGTTTAATGCCAATAATAATGGTTTTAATGCCGACAAAACTCAATGTACAACATTGTAAAGCCTGTAAAGCCATTTTCATAATGCACATAATCTTGAAATCTAAGCAATAATTGTGAGTTATGATCTGCAAAATGTCACTTTTCTCCCAGAAACAAATGTTGAGATTGATGAGGCTCCCCTGTAATTGGTTTTATTGAGAAGTTTTCTCCTTACAGTTTTCTTCCTAGTAAGTTAACCAGGAGCTGAATAACATGATACTTTACTGCCCCTATGATAACCAGTTCTGCTGACTTTGTAGGTTGGTGATGAAGCTGCCTTGACGGAGTTGACTTCACCTGTTGCTGGTGTTGTCCTCACCCTAATGGCAAACCTTCGTCAGTGTTTTTCTGTGGAACAAGCAACATCTGATGGTGACAGGTACACACACTATGGGTCGCGTCTCCAGGAAAACAGTGCCACTCTGGGCCAGTCTGTGGCCTGGGCCGAAGGGTCAGGTTCCAGGACACTGTTTGCCACATCTCTACAGCTGGTCCTGAAAGGCCTTATAGAACACATCCTCAGATCAAGTAAGTAGTACAGTTTAGTATTCTCACAAGATAATCAGCCAGTGAGAGCTAACTCGTAAATTACTGCTTTCTGTATCTGTTTACTGAGCTTAAGTTGTGGAGCATTACAGCGATTGAGAGTTGACCTTTAAATTACAAGTTTCTGGATTTGCTACCTTTGTGAAGGATAACAGAGCAAGGGATATCCTTATTATAAGATGTTACATCTATTTACCTGAAGTGGATGATCATAGCAAATAAAGGCAAAAACTGTATTTTAGAAGTGCTTGTATTTCTCGACCATTGCGGATGATTACAGAGAGTGAACCTGATATTGACTTTACCTGTATGTTACGAGATTCTGTATGTTTACTTAGGTGGAGGGTTACAGCGTGTGAACCTGATAATGACTTTACCTGTATGTTACGAGATTCTGTATGTTTACTTAGGTGGAGGGTTACAGCGTGTGAACCTGATAATGACTTTACCTGTATGTTACGAGATTCTGTATGTTTACTTAGGTGGAGGGTTACAGCGTGTGAACCTGATAATGACTTTACCTGTATGTTACGAGATTCTGTATGTTTACTTAGGTGGAGGGTTACAGCGTGTGAACCTGATAATGACTTTACCTGTATGTTACGAGATTCTGTATGTTTACTTAGGCGGAGGGTTACAGCGTGTGAACCTGATAATGACTTTACCTGTATGTTACGAGATTCTGTATGTTTACTTAGGCGGAGGTTTACAGCGTATGAGGGCAAACCTATACGGATCATTGCTGTACTACCTACAGATAGCGCAGAAACCAAAGACTCCCACCAACCCAGGTCAGTTATCAACAGTGTTAGTTTCTCATTGGGCTTAGATCAGTGATGTTTGAGATAAACTATTGACGAAAACAATTATTTAAAAATCTATTATTATACTTAGATCAAAGATGGTTGAGATAAAGTACTGTTGACAGAAAATACTTCAAACTCAACAGAAATTCAAGCTCAATATGAACAAGTTATAAACATGATTAGAATAACTTAAGATCACTGATATATGAGTTCCATTTTGTTGCTATCCTTCTAGAAAAAGACCAGGAAGGAGTTGGAGGAAGAATCCTGGCTGCTTCGGACTCTGAGTATGATCAGCTGGCCAAGGAAAACGTATCCACCATCTTATCATATGGAGATAACTTCATGGAGACTGTGTGTCGGGACGCCTGCGATGGCCATGATGTTGGGCGGGTGTGTAGTTCAAGCAATAGAGAATATATGATTTATATTTTTAATCATTTCATTTCACGGGAAAGTTTAAACAACGTGTGGTTTATTACCTTTGTCCCAATTTAAGTGTGGTGGGGCATATAGTGTTACCCATATCTGTCCGCTCCCATCCTGATTCATCGTCATAACTCTATTGACTTCAAACTCAACAGAATTCATGCTCTGAGTTCCATTTATTTCTCAACAGATTTTCATTGAAGTTGTAAAAAGGTCAAGTATGAAAATACCTTGATTGAGCATTCAGGTCACAAGTTCCATGCTAAGATCACTGTTGCTATTTATAGAACAACCACAGGGCCAAGTGGGCAGTCATGTTTAACAGACATTTGGTAGTTTATTATTGTAGTGGACATATCATATGTAACTACAGACTGTTGTAATATATCATGTCACATGTTCATAATGTCAGATGTTGGCTCTGTCGGTGATGGACACGATCCTTTCCATGGACAAGTTCCAGCAGTGGTTGACATTCCTGTCGTCAAAAGGCTACCTCCAACATCTGGTGGACAGTCTACTGCACGACGATGAACAACTACAGACACTGTTGTCCCAGAACCCTGAACTCCGCATCCTCTACATCTACGAGTCAAAGATGGTAGGAACAGGCCAGGGGTCTCTAAGCCCTGAACTTTGCCTTACTTTACAGGTCTCCCTGAACAAATAGCACACACCACATCCAATTTGATTGATTAATTAATTTATAAACAGCCAATGGGACACTGCAGATGTTGTCGTAATAATCCATTGACAATTGTGCATTTAAAGTGTGATGTCCTGATCGGAAGTAACAACCAGCTGAACAGTTATATAGGTATCCATTATACAATTTACCATGGTGACAACATAATTAAAATGTGATACATTGAATACACTATGTTTGGAAATGTTTTTAGGGCAAGGCTGATATTTATATTTGCAGGCTTTGTCTTTATGTCCTTTAAGCTAGAGATGTTCCATTTCAGGGCCTGCTGACTAGAATAGCAGAATCGACCACCGGGGCTCACACTATCCTTAGGTGTGGCCTCATGCAGCGACTGGCGGGATGTTCCTTCTTTGATATGAGGCCGGAGCTGGAAAGGTAACAACCTTTTTAATTGTCAGCGTCTATTTTGAAAGATAACACCAGTATTTAATGATTCCCTTTGAATCAAGTCTGAAGAAATGAGAAGATTGGTAATACCCTTTTACTTTTACAGTTTGATGGATTTGAAATGGAGATATTACAGAGCTATGAGGCTCACTGTGAGCAAGTGTAATTTTGACAGTAATAGACATGTTTTTGACACAGGTCGAGAGATGCGCAGGGGTTCCTAGAGTCCGAGGAGTTCATTCCGAGCCCGATGGCACGGTATCAGCATGTGTTGTTTGCCAGCCTGAAGCTGTGTCTGGCACTTCTCACTTCCCTGGGTATAGAGAACCAGGATGCTGGAAACCAGGTACACTGAAACATATTACCTGAAAATTAAAGTGTTCTCTCCGCAACCCTGACACGGTGGCTGTGCTAGCTAATGCTCTTCCTTTTAAAGGACTTTTACCTGCACTGAACATTTATATGATTTTCTTTATCACCTTAAAATAAAACACTCCCCCTGATACTCTAAAACCCAGTTAATAACATAATTACAAGCAAGTTGCTGCTTGAAATTTCAAACAAGAACAATATTGAATAAATGAAAAATATGCAACCAATTGTGTCGTGAACTGATCTCTATGAGAGTCCGTAGTAAGACATCCAGTTCTATGTGGAAATCTGAAGATAAATAATTACATTTCATGTCGAACATTTTAAGTACCAATTTTTAAACTCTCCAGGTGCTACAGTTTATATTTGCCCATGGGGATGTGTTCCACAACATCCTACGGGATCGCCAGCCATCACTAAATCTGTCGGCGTTACGGGAACTCGCTCTGACAACTGCAGTGATTGCCAGGGCCAACTATCGAGGTCTGTTTGAACCGCAACAATATAAAACAGGTCATTAGGTGATGACACAATGGAGACCAATGTATAGTAATATATCTTGGTTATTAGGTACAGTCAGACTTACTAGGTCATTAGGTGATGACACAATGGAGACCAATGTATTGTAATATATCTTGGCTATTAGGTACAGTCAGGCTTACTAGGTCATTATGTGATAACACAATGGAGACCAATGTATTGTAAGATATCTTGGTTATTAGGTACAGTCAGACTTCCTAGGTCATTAGGTGATGACACAATGGAGACCAATGTATTGTAATATATCTTGGTTATTAGGTACAGTCGGGCAGTATAAAGCTAAAATTATTAATTCAGCTATTTTTAATCTGGTTGAATCAAGGTCCATCTAGAAATAATTTTAAGGAATTCAAAAATGTACTAGTTATCCAAACATTTCATAATCCAGCAACTTATGGCTGGGAACAATGATAGCTGTAAATGGCTGTAGAGCGAAATCTATATACATAAATGTAGTCATGGTATTAAAGGCCACTGTTTTCTGACTCCAGGTATTCCTGATGCAGAGTTTGATGACATTGAGACAGCAGGCATAGAGTTCAGAGGTCACAAGACACGTATTGAGCGACAAATGCTGGCCCTTGTTCCTAAGTACTGCCTGTCAGAGAAACTCACCAAACAGCTGCGTAACCTGGAGAGTCAACAGCTACAGGAAGGTCGCGACCTCAAGGCTGAGGTCACGCTGGCTTATCAGGAGGTTGCAGCTAACGTAACTTCGTTTTGCAGAGCTGTTATATCTACGTCGGGTATGTACAACACATTACAAAGGTCATGGTCACTAATGTCATATGTATGTAATATATATATATATAAGCCATGTTTGTACAGCCAAAATACAAGGATCAGTCTCTATATGATCAGTTTATACAACCAAAGTACAAGGATAATTGTATTACATATCAGGTCTCCATATGATAGGTAAGTACAGCCAAGACACAAGGATCACTTTTCCAAGGGTTTTTTAAGCACCAATGTGTACAATGAAAGTACAAAGATCAAGGTTTACATATACTTCCCTGGTATAAAGGTCATGGTCACAAATGTTATTAGTGTTGAGTTTATAGTTTATTTTAGTTCATATATTTTCAGGTTATTCCTCCCAGTTTTGTCGTGTGATATTTGGTCCGAGTTTGGAAGAAGCTTTGGCCAGAGACATCAGAAACACAGAAGGTAGGTCTGAAATCTTCATTTATTTATTAGTTGATGACACATACTCTTAAAGTATGATTTTTAATTATTTTTGATACCTGAAGATAACTTAGAAATGCTTCTATGTGTTCACTGATCATCATCGGCACCAAGTTCTCACCGTTGTCAAATTACATCTGCACGTTATACTTTATGCAGAGTTTTCACTGTTTTAGATCATTCTTGTGCATTATATTATAGAGTTTCGCTGTCGTCCATGACACCTCGTTGTTATACTTTAGAGTTTTCACTGTTGTCCATGACACCTCGTTGTTTTACTTTAGAGTTTTCACTGTCATCCATGACACCAGCCCACATACCAAACCTAGGGATCATCGTGTACCAGCTTCGCCAGTGTGCAGGCCGCTTCATGTCTGTGTACGACACACACCAACAACATCTCCGTAAACTCCAGAGTCTCGCCGACCTCAGCACAGACGACCTGAAGGAGGTAATTGATATACTGTAAAAGCATATATTTTCGTTGGGGTTAAATTTCGTTGTTTTTGTTTTGGGACAAATTTGGGGCGATTATATTTCATGGAATCAATATTTTCAAACCCGGTATTTTTTTTCAGTTTGACACCTAGACTATAAGACAATAGGTCTGGCTAACCGTACATCGCCTGTTGGGATTATATTTCGTGTTGTTTTTTTTTAAATTTTATGCTTTTACAGTAAGCACCTTTGACACCTGATAGATACTCTGGCTCTGTTTATTACACCCTAGTGGAATACTTTTTATTATGACACATCATTGGACATAGCATCCTATCTATATGTGACAATGTGGTACATCAAACAAACTATAAATTCTGATGACATTTCAATGCTCCGTTCAGTTAGTAAATCACAAAACAAATTTACAAATTTGTTTTGATGAAGCAGAACTTTACTGTAGTAGTGTACCTTCATAGTTTTCAGGCGTTCCTGCCACGGAGAAGATGCCGTCGCAGCAGAGACAGCACCTGGCACATCGACGCCTGGCACAAATAGTCCACTATAAAGGGGGTGAACTCAAACACCTAGCATGTATCCTTGTAATAGCCGTCAGGGTTTGTCAGCTTTGTCAAGGTCTGTTAAAGTGTGTCAAGATTTGTCGGGGTTTTTCATGTCGGAGTTTGTCTCAGATTTTCTCTTGTCTTTTTCAGGTTTTTTGTGTGGGTTGGGATTGGCCAGGATTGTAAGAGCCTGATATGTTGGGGTTTGTTGTGTGGGTTGGGATTGGCCAGGATTGTAAGAGCCTTATATGTTGGGGTTTGTTGACCTAATGTTGTGTAAGAGTTATAATACCTGTCTAGGTTTCTTGTTTCTGTCAGAGTTTGTCTCCGGGTTTGTCTGACTTGTTGGTTTGTCATGTTGATATGTTTACATGTTTCCCTTCTTCAGTTTAGTAAACTCTGACTGCATATAAATGAGCGTATACGCAGTGAAAAACGCTAACGTCCTCCATAGAATATGTTCGTTGCCAACTGGTTTCATACTTCTGTATACGCCATCAAAATGAAGGTCAATCCTTCAGTATTCAGTGACTGACATCTGTAAATAAGCTAGGATATATCTATTTTGTGATAGACATTATAAATAGACGAGTGGTAGCATGTGACCAGGTGTAGGTACCTGTTGATGGATGACCGACAGGTATTATTTTATCTCAATATCTAGAGCTCTCGCATCTCATTTTGATAAAGCTATTACTGACAATGATCTGATTTTCCTTAATCGAGTGTACAGATATTATAGAGAACTGTATATTTATATTGTGGCGCCACCTGGAATATTACCTGTTACACTGCGTACCTATAGACCAACAGCCCACTCTTTACCAGTCACAGGTGAAACGCCAGCAGCAGATGCGTCGGCTACAAGGTACGTCGTTGTTTAACCTATACTGACGATGATGTAAATGCTGGTACAACTCGACGATATTGTGAAGATGGCGTGACAAATAGCATTGTGTTTTAAGTCATAGTCTTTGCAGAAGCTAAATTTTGAATACTAGTGTGACGAGTGATTCTTATTCTCTGTCTGGTAACTAGTGGCACAAAAATCCTTCCAACTTGAAGTAATGACCTAACATGATAGATCCAATATAAAAAATCCTTAAAATAGAAAACCAGTGAACTAATAAAAACTCACATACCAAGTACCCTGCACACACAGTTGTAACATTTATTTCTGATGCAGACCTGACAGGTACCGGCAGCATGATGTACGACACAGATGTGGGGGCGACGTTCTCGGAGGGAGACGAGCTGACACGGGGCGTGACAAGGGAGGAGTTAGCCACACTCAAACAAACAGCAGTATCGGCCATCACAGAGTCTCTTCTCAAAAAACTGTCAGAAATAAATCAGGTAAGGTCATACACTCAAGATATTTTTAAATTTGTATCAAATTCATTCCATCTTATTTTATTGTTGGAGAATGTTGAAGTCATTTAAATGGTTGACCGCAGTCAGAAAAAAATATATTCTTGAAAATATTTTCTATTTTATTATTGTTCTATTTAAATGAGTGTAAAATATGCAATTTTATTTCTTCTTTCAGAGCTTCTGTAAAAATCGGTCACACTATGGCTTTGTGGAGGCATTAATTCGGCGGACCAAACGGTTACTGAGGCTTCACACGGGTAGCTGATGTAGCCCTACAAATCTAATAGAGGACAATTTATCATTGAGAATAGTGTTTTTGTAATTACAGCCATGAACTTTGTACTTCTGTGTGTAGCGTTTCGTAGCTGGTTTTGATGACGGGCATGGAATTAAAAAAAATATGTAAAACTTTGTTAGCAGCAGAATGATAGTGACAGGAGTACAGAGATCCTAGATCAGCACACTAATGGAATTGAATAGATGAATTAATCATTATTAGATGAATTAATCATTATTTGATGAATTAATCATTATTTGTCAAAGTACTGAAACACACTTGATTAATTTAAAACAATTGGTGCAAAATTTGGATCGGAGAAAACATCCCTTTATGTATTGAAGGTACTGAATCTGGATTTCTGTGGACAACACCTGTTTAACCTGTCATAGTTAATTGAAAAGTATGTACCTTTATCCAAGAGATGTTTTCTCTGACTAAGATCAATATTCACTGTATTACTACACTCCCTAACAAGGATGTTTAACAGTCCTTCATGTTTTAAACAAGAAATGTGCTGCAAAGAATGTTCATTAAAAAATAAAGAAATTGAACATTACTACCATCAGTGTGTTCTATGGTAATAACTACAGACTGGAATTTTACAAGGCAATCTGTTAACAGGGGAAAGGCTATCTTGAATACCTGGATTTGGGAGTTTTTAAGATTGGAAATGTTTTCAGTTTGATTCTGCAAAATTATAATGTCGCATTGTTCAAGTTGCAATGTTGCTATTATATTTTAATGTATTACCTCAGTGTGTTTGCATGTATGGGGATATTAGAATTGATCTGCTAGAAAACTAAATCTGTGAAAATCTCTTTTGTAAAGTAGTTGAATGTTAAAAGGAATGTACCATAGGACACCACCCCGTCTTTATTTTAATGTGTATCAACGCACTCACACACAACACATAGAAGACTCTCACAAAGCCAACACTTAATCACACAAAACTGTATATGACACACACAGCTGGTGATATAATCTATGTCCTACCTTTTATTAGGTCACCTGAGACAAAGTCTCGCCTTTTGTCCGGTGTCGTGCGTCCGTAAACAATTTACATTTTTGACTTCCTTTCCAAAACCACTGAACCAATTTCAATGAAATTTTGCAGAAACCTTACATAGCCACAGGTCAACCAAAATTGTGAATTATATGGTCCCCAGCCCCCAGAGGCCTGAGGGGTGGGGCCAAAAAGGGTAAAATTGATAAAATTTCAAAAATCTTCTCCAGATCCAGATACGGTAGAATCAAATACTCTTCATAGATGGAAGGGTCTTAAGGTGCTTTACCAAAATAGTGAATTTCATGACCCTGGGGTCTCACGTTTCCTCCTGGGGAGGGGGTAAACTTCACTATAGTTTATATAGGGAAATCACATTTTGGACCCGCATATATTTAATTTCCATTGGAATTAATTCAAACTTGGTTTGCATTATCAGTATTGGATAGCAGTTTGATGATATGCACAAATCAGCCCTGACTGACCCCCAGGGACCTGAGGGGCGGAGTCAAATTGACTAAAATTTAAAAAATCTTCTCAATACCTAGATATGGTAGTCAAATACTCTTCATAGATGGAAGGGTCTTAAGATGCTTTACCAAAATTCAGCTGACTGACAGAACCACTGTTTGTACATACCGAAAAACCCAAGTAATTTGCGCACCTATGTAATTTGGCAGGTACTTTTTGAGGCTGAAAATCTAAAAAAAAAAAGCTTCTACTCAAATATTTTGCGCACCAAATTTTTTTGGGAAAAAAATGATGTTCAAGTTTCGAAAACCGATCTCAGAAAATGAAAGACAAACCGCTTGGGATTCTTAGGATTTTTGTAATTTGTTTATTATAAGTAAGTATTATTTACAGGTACAATGATGTTAAAATTAAGAAGAAATGTGTATTTTGTTGTTTCCTTTGAAATATCTTATCACACATGACACACACGTGTGCGAAAATCGGCATACGTTAATTAATTTTAGCAATATTTTACATAAAACATTTACTTGCTTACAAAAATGTACATATACTACCCAGATCTTTCACACTACTTTTGCATTACATGTAGTTCAAGTTACCTTTGTTACAAAATGATTTTGTTTTCATTTGGAAACATCGATAACATCAGTTTTTACATAAATCAGGTGACCGTTAAGGCCCATGAGCCTCTTGTTATAAGTTCTCCACCTCTGCATTTTTAGGTCCCATGAGCTTTAGCTTAAAGTCAAGTTATAATGGGCGGATTTAACTGAAACCTTTTAGGAATGAACAACTCATGGTCCTGACAAAATGTTGTTGTTTTTCTGGTCGATCAGAAATTCAATATGGCCGCCAATGCCATCAAGTTATAATGGGCGGATTTAACTGAAACCTTTTAGTTATGAATGACTCCTGGGCCTGACAAAATGTTGTTGTTTTAATACATTTTTTCGTTTGACAAATTTTGTACTATTCTCCTTTGACATCATTATTTCAACAACAACAGCAGAATACTGTAGGACTCAGGTGACCGTTAAGGCCCATGGGCCTCTTGTTATATCATAAAGCATATTTAGATACTATGCACCTGTAATTTGATTGATTTCAAAAAAAACACGTTTGGTGCTTATTTGACTGCGCTTCTCATACAGCAGCATTAAACCAGGTCTACATTTAGATTTCAAGGCTAAATCCACACAATGCACTGGAGAATGTTAATGCAGGTCTATACAGTTTTTATCGAAGATTTACAGAAAGCTACCACAGATGACAAGGTTTCTCCCTATTTCATGAACACACAACTCTGGTCACACCATTTGAAATAGGATTATGTTCTCGTTTTAAGACAACACATTACCGATGTTCTCGTTTTAAGACAACACATTACCGATATTCTCGTTTTACAACATATTACCGATATTCTCGTTTTAAGACAACACATTACCGATACTCTCATTTTAAAACACACATTACCGATGTTCTCGTTTTAAGACAACACATTACCGATGTTCTCGTTTTAAGACAACACATTACCGATGTTCTCGTTTTAAGACACACATTACCGATGTTCTCGTTTTAAGACAACACATTACCGATATTCTCGTTTTACAACACATTACCGATGTTCTCGTTTTAAGATAACACATTACCAATGTTCTTGTTTTAAGACAACACATTACCGATACTCTCGTTTTAAGACACACATTACCGATGTTCTCGTTTTAAGACAACACATTACCAATGTTCTCGTTTTAAGACAACACATTACCGATACTCTCGTGTAAAGACAACACATTACCGATGTTCTCGTTTTAAGACAACACATTACCGATGTTCTCGTTTTAAGACAACATATTACCGATACTCTCGTTTTAAGACACACATTACCGATGTTCTCGTTTTAAGACAACACATTACCGATGTTCTCGTTTTAAGACAACACATTACCGATGTTCTCGTTTTAAGACAACACATTACCGATATTCTCGTTTTAAGACAACACATTACCGATACTCTCGTTTTAAGACACACATTACTGATGTTCTCGTTTTAAGACAACACATTACCGATACTCTCGTGTAAAGACCACACATTACCGATGTTCTCGTTTTAAGCCAACACATTACCGATGTTCTCATTTTAAGACAACACATTACGGATACTCTCGTGTAAAGACCACACATTACCGATGTTCTCGTTTTAAGAAAACACATTACCGATACTCTTGTTTTAAGACACACATTACCGATGTTCTCGTTTTAAGACAACACATTACCGATACTCTCGTTTTAAGAGAACACGTTACCGATGTTCTCGTTTTAAGAAAACACATTACCGATATTCTCGTTTTAAGACAACACATTACCGATACTCTCGTGTAAAGACAACACATTACCGATGTTCTCGTTTTAAGACAACACATTACCGATATTCTCGTTTTAAGACAACATATTACCGATACTCTCGTTTTAAGACACACATTACCGATGTTCTCGTTTTAAGACAACACATTACCGATGTTCTCGTTTTAAGACAACACATTACCGATACTCTCGTTTTAAGAGAACACGTTACCGATGTTCTCGTTTTAAGAAAACACATTACCGATATTCTCGTTTTAAGACAACACATTACCGATACTCTCGTGTAAAGACAACACATTACCGATGTTCTCGTTTTAAGACAACACATTACCGATACTCTCGTTTTAAGACAACATATTACCGATACTCTCGTGTTAAGACACACATTACCGATGTTCTCGTTTTAAGACAACACATTACCGATGTTCTCGTTTTAAGACAACACATTACCGATACTCTCGTTTTAAGAGAACACGTTACCGATGTTCTCGTTTTAAGAAAACACATTACCGATATTCTCGTTTTAAGACAACACATTACCGATACTCTCGTGTAAAGACAACACATTACCGATGTTCTCGTTTTAAGACAACACATTACCGATACTCTCGTTTTAAGACACATATTACCGATGTTCTCGTTTTAAGACAACAAATTACCGATACTCTCGTTTTAAGACAACACATTACCGATATTCTTGTTTTAAGACAACACATTACCGATATTCTCGTTTTAAGACCCTAACACATTACCGAATTTGTTTGTTCCCTATATGCTACAAAAAAACCACAATAATTACATTATTTGTATACACGATTTCTACTAATAGCAGGAAAAGTCTACAACATGTATAAAAAGATCCCTTACCAAGTGTTTTGATGTTAAGGAGCCTGGCTACAGAATCTTAACCTTGGATTAAGTGAACTCAAAAATGTGTTCACATCACAACCTCTTGATATCTTCTATACACCCCTGTACTATGTCATTTTCGTAACAACATTTGTGAGTAAAAAGCACTTAGTCCATTATATCCCTGGGTGCGTATAGCAGTTGTCTTGTCTGTCGCACTCCTTGTCATCACTTTAGCGGATTGTATTTCTTGACCGATACAGGTATATTACCTTGGCAACTAGAATCACTAAATTCACTCGATTTTATCTTCACCAATAACAACAGCTGTCGCCAGAATGGCAGACTGGGGGTACATTCACGTTACCCGTTGAAACGGTTGAACCGGTTGAACCTGTAAAGAAAACGACAGGTACAGATCTGGACCGAGGCTGACCTCAGGAAAATTTGGCACGTCTAGATTGAGGGGTCCAGATGTGCCTGACCGAAACTAAAATGCTGACTATTGCCAATTTGCGTTATTTCTTTTTAAAACAATGTCAAGTCACATGTAGTTTTTAAGATACGTTATGTAATTTAGTGGACGCGTGAGAGAAAGGCATACTATTCTTGATACATTGTTTTTTATTCTCCGAAACTGGATTTTTAGCTCTGCTTATAGAACGGTCCAAGTGTGTTCGTTTATCGTGGAAAATTTCTGCGCCACACGTACCGTTTCAACCGGGATACGCGAATGTAGCCTTATATCCCCCGAGAACATCTTTAATAAAACAAAAGGGTACAGTTCCATAAATAGGGGGAATAACTCCAATTTATATAATTTATTCACATCTTCTCTATGCAACAAGTGGTACCTGTACCATTTAA